AGAAATTAAAAGCTTTAGATAACCGCAAAGCAATAACGTGCGAACGAAACCTTGTGGTATTCATCTAATGGGTAGTTATGAACGCATAGCTGGTTTACATTAGTGTACATTTTTTATCATGTTTACAGTGAAAAAAACCTATTTCTTTAGTTGTTTGCCCGATTTTTCCACTGTGTCCTAGTACAACATATAAGTCTTTTTAATTAAAGCTTTAAAGGTGATGCTTGTATGTTTTGGGTATAGACCTTACCCCAGGCCCAGAAAGTGAATATTGTTAATCATTCTATATAAATAGAGTTAATCTTGCTATACCAATTTAATTAGCCCATGTTATGAGAACTAATTTCTCGATATTTCCATAAACACTCATATAAATATGTTACTTTTTTTTCTTTTCGAAAATTTAGAAGGACTTGTTTTTTCAATATATGAAGAAAATACTTAAAAATATATAAGCCATTTGAACATAACTTAAGATAATAAATATTTTTAAAATAAACACAAACTAATCTTAATTTAATTATAAACATATATTCATCTTTCTTGACAGTCCAATAAAATTTTAATATTAATATAAGAGCAAATACGGAAATGCACATTACTTGGCACAAAATAATTTTATTTGGCGCTTAACTCCTTGTACATTACAATTGTCTTTCAACAAATTGGCTTTTCATTACATGACTAACGATAAATATTTATAATAAGAATTCGTAATTTTATTTTACTTAATCATATGTAGTAAATAAACTTTATTTTCATAGACTTAACAAAATAACAAACTCTTCTTAGAGAATTCCTGAAAAACTACAAACAATTCATCATCTGTACAATTATATTATATTTATATGCATATATATATATAATTAATATCTTTGTTCTATAGTAGCGGTTGGCACTCTTAGTAACAGGGTAGAATATATGAAGTAATCAACATCATCTAACGGGAGGTCCAAGAAACGAGATGCTTAGATGGGTTCGGACTAGAGGGAGAGGGGGGTTAGATGAGTAGACTTTAGGAGGCATGCAAAGAGGTGGTTAGCGTCGTGCTATATTTTGGTATGTCAGCGTCGAGTCTGAATAATTTCGGTATGACCTGTTATAATATGATGCCCTGGGTTGTGCTGCGGTATTACGCGGTACTCACGAAGCAGATCGAGCTCTTCGTCTGCTATTGCTGGTTTTTGACTCCGGGAATGCCATTCCCAAGAGGAGCATTATCCTTAACTGGTAGCGTAGATAGTTCGCAGTTAAAGTGATGCTCTGCCGATATCAGAAGATTTCCTGTCACGGTTATACTGGCGGTGGTCTGGCATGCTTGTAACTTTGTCTATTGCGGTGACCGAATGAGTGTAGCATAGGTTACCACCGGCCAGCCGATTCCCTTGTAGGTTGACAGCAATGTTTTTTTTTATCATTTTCCTAGGTGCTGCCGACTAACGCTTTGAGGTTTTGCGGAGCGAAGGAGAGCAGGCTGTCGAATGTAACTTGGGTTGCTTATGGTCAGATTTTCGACGCCATCACCCTGCGGAAACCCTTGTTTAATTGTTCTGAGCTTTGTTGTTTGACCTTGAAATTTTACCGATGGTCTACCTCTTCAACCCCGGCGGTAATGAGGATTCCTTAAGGTCCAATAGTAGCACTAAATGGTTGACCATTTCAAAAACTTTTGACAGGTCCAGGACATTTCGCACACAAGGCTTGCGTTGGCTGAGACCATTGAGTATCTGAGTCTTTATGGCGTAAAGTGATGTTGTGTTACTGGACACATATAGTGTGTGAAGGTGGGGAACAGCAAGGCCTGAAGAGTCCCCACTACTGGGGAGAAGTGAGTTATCGGCCGATAAGACTATCATTTGATTGCTGATTTCCCCAGTTTGAGTAGCGGGATCACCCTACCCTTTTTCCACATGTCGGATACTTTAGGGGGTCAAAAACAAAGTAAGGACCTTGGTGAGAAAATCTGAACGAAATTGCCATCCCATCATCGCATCTCGTCGAGCTTGACAGTGATTTGAATATGGCCCAGAGCTTGGTAGCCATAGAGAAGAGGTTGCAAGATCTCAAGCGCTCCTCCCACTTTTTTCGCTTATGAAAGTCGACTTTTTACCGAATCTTCTGGTTGTGATTCTCTTCATGAGAGGATTTCCCTCTATCCCTCTACGTAATTTGACAAGATAGAATGCCAGGGATCGTGGAGCGCATTGAAATCGCCCAGAGTCAAATGGCCTTCGCCTCTGGGTAGTGAATATTTCAGTGCAATATCCAGCTGGGCAACTTAAAACAGAAGGAATGTACATATTTTATGTTTCGAGCTTGACATCGTCTGACCGAATAGCTATGCCCCGACATTCTAGCTATTCATTTCGTGGTATCAAAACTACAGGGCTGTATTTTGACATCTGTTAAACCTAGCTGTCACATCAGACATGTTTGAAAATGGATCTAATGTAAAACACACATTGATTTAAATGTGTCCGACCGTATTCTCTACTTTAAGAGAATATTATGCTGCCACTATTCCAGTAAAGCTGAAAATTTCAAAGAAATTTGTAAAGTCTGGATCGGTTACAGATATTGCAACTGAAGTCGTGTGATTTGACACCATTGGTTATTTTTGGCGGCACTGCGTGAAACATACGTTAAGTTATGGCTATGATTCCCCCAGAATGTGCAAAAACCATCAGAAACAACCTCAAATAGATTGAAGCTAACAGAACTTCGTGGGGCGGTCATTTAAATAATTTAGTTTTTCACTAGTTTTATAATTAAGCAGGAGTTTCATGCATTACATTTTATTTACGTATATTTTCGAAAACGCGAATTGGATAGCTCTTCATTTTTTTTTGTTTTTTTAATTGTTTCTCAGGTTTTTGTTGCAGTTTTCTTATTTCTTGAGGTTTACAATTTTTTTTCGACGAGTCGACCGTCATACATTGTTTTTATGTTCACTTTGATAGTGTATACGAATACTGCAGATTTCATGAAGTCAAAATAATGTACAAAGAGCGAATTCTTGAGGAAAAATATGATCGTCTTATCAAATTTCGCGAAACAAAAGTTTTTACGAAGAATATTTAAATACTTACCTATTCTGTCGAGGTAACAAAATTTACTCTAGTATTTAGTAAATTTGGTTACTATTTCGTATTCTGAGTTCACAGTCACCCTGTAAGTTTTGTTACCAGCGAAATAGGAGGTAACAAAAAATCTGGTGTTTTATTTTGTGTTGTTAGTTTAAGAAAAAATAAAAACCAAACTGGGTAGGCATATTTTAGGCCTGGAATTCATTGAAGATGAGGAAAAAAGTATGAAAAGGCCTATGCTAATAAGTTGCGAGAAAAAATGACCCTTTCAATTTGGAAGATAGTGTTTTCATTCAGCTTTTTTTTTGCCGTTTAGGTATGTTTTCAAGTATTTATAATTTAATACACAAATAAATAAAACTTATTTATTTTGTTGTGCACCGTCTTCCATTTCGATGTGAATATTCTTCTTTTTTACTTCACAAACTCGCAAATGTAATTTGACAAGGACGAAAAAAGCAGGGTAACCAAAGTTTTTTCAAACATTGTAACCAGTTCATCAGAATACCAAATTCATTTTAACAAAATTGACTTCACCGGTAACAGTGAGAATAGGTCTGTTAGTAGGAACATCATCAAAAACGATACAACCATTTCTGCACTTTTCATAAAGCCTTGAGAGTTATTATCTCAGAAATCGTAATAATAGAAAGATCCCATCTCTCTACTTAAATATTTGACTTTATTAATATTAACCTATGATGGACAAGTATTGTCCAATTCTTGGTTCCACCAAATTAAAGTTCATCTAACAAAAACACACATACAGCTATTTTTTCGTTAACGTAAAGAGTTTAATTGAGAAGAAAAATAGTTGATAATAAAATCAGCACTTGAATTGGGTTAACATCTATTCGTAAAAAGTATAATCGTAAAAAGTATTATCGATTTCATAGGTTGCTTGACTTGAAAACTTCAATGTTACGTTATATTTTGCTTGGCAAAATAAATAATTTTAGTGTACTTGCTTTTGCTTTTGTCTCGGAAAAGATATGATTATTATTTGACAATATAATTCTGGCTGACACTAGAGAACCTACTGACGAATAACTTATATTAAATATACATATGCAAGTTGCGTTTTGTAACCGCTCTAGCGATTTTCGGCCAAGCTGATCCATGCTCTTCCAACGAAGGGAGGGGTCTACAGTTTATTCTACCCGCCTTTTTAATTTTTTAAAAGAGCTTTTTACTTCGTATCAAAAATATTCTCGGAAGGCTTAACATTCCCCTTCAACCACAACTAGGATAATTAGTTTTCTCTTCTTCAGGATCTTGGATCTGAATGGCATTACCCTCTACTACACTCTTAACTATTTCGGCTATTTTGAAATAACAGCCAAAATGTTTCAATTTTAAAGTAATTCAAAATATTTCGAGCTACTGTTAAGAAGTGAAATCTCTGCACTGAGTTTATATATCAGTGGTAAGACAAAAACTCATCTATTATAAGATTATTAACCGAAAAGTTTTCAAAAGCCATATTTATACCAAGGAACACAAATTGGTGCTGCTTAAAATTAACATCTGAACAAATCTCAGACGAGAAGAATGGAATGAAAATCTCCATTTCACTAGATAGTTATCGAGATATGTATAATTGTATGGATACAGACCCGAAGAAAGCGTTGGTGGATGGTCCCAAGAAACCCATCTTTTGAGCTTGCATGCAGCACCTCGGTCAGCTTGCCTGAAATGGGATGCATAAAATGGGACATCTCTAAGATGGTTATATGACATACTCGCGTTACCAAATAAAATTTATAAATTTTAGTGACCGTGGTACCAGAATCGGCATTAACTTTAAAGTTTTTAGTCCAATAACAGAAATTTATTATTTTTTGTCCTGTATTTTAAATTTAAATATATTTCATTTGATGGCTTTGAACTAAAGAAATACTATTAAATATATTTGAAATATATTATTAAATCATGTGTGTTTTTTCAGAGCAAAAGCAAAAATAAGGCGAATTTTTATTATCAGAAATGATCTTTAATTTAACAGAAGGTTTTAACTTTAATTAATCGTTTGAGAGTTGGGTCATTATAAATGCACAGTAGAAGAATTTTGTTTAATATTTTATACTATGTAACGGCGGCCGCAGTAGCCAAGCTGTAAGGATTGAGTTCTAAAACTCTGTTGGCCATCGGCCGTTCAGAGGTGGCGTAGAATAAACTGTAGATCCCTCAACCTGTTTTAACAAGACAAAGACGCACACCACAAATTGGAGGTTACAAAACACCAATTTTTATATAACGCAATTTCATTGTGCTAATTAAATGTACTCTACTAACTCAAAATTATTGAAATTTTACATACTAACTACATATGTTGGATAAATTTTTAGTTACCTTAAGTCCTTTGGCACGATTAATGGCACGCAGAGGTCTTAGAACGCGAAGTACTCGTAATATTTTCACGAATGAGATCGCATTCGAACTAAAATGGAAAGAGACATGATTGATCAAAATATTGTTCTATTATAACAAAAATAAAAATTCAGTAATTATCCATATATTTCGGCATTAAAATTTTATAAGAATCTGTTTTGCTTTCTGCTGTACTTAGTAATAACGATGTTTAAAGTACAGCGCTGCGTCGGCACGCCTTCTCGCATGTTCGGTAACTAAGTCGAGAAAGTCGGAACCGTCAGTGCTTCAAAGCGAGCAAGCAGGGTGAAAAATATCTTAGGCACGTGACGACACCGACGGTGAAGAGCAATTGAGCTTGGAAGTTTTGTTGCTGTCGGTACCGAGCAAAGCGAGTCATATTATATGTCTTGCGGTAACCAAGACACTTTTTGAAGCATTAGGAGTGACTTGTTTTAGATTCAATAGAAATTGAAACGATTGATTTATATATGTATTGTATGGTTTTTTCAATCGCGTTATCTAAAATATTTTTACCATTGTGTTTTTAGAGACAGTTTTAAGTGAAACATAAAAATTTTTATGTAATAACAAATATTGTTTCAATTTCTCCTTATTTAATGTGTAAAAAATAAAAATCTCAGCAAAATTTTGTTCTTTTTAAATTAATTTTTTCATTACATAACATTTCAATCAATTTATACTTATTCTGCTTTATATACGTCTGCCGTTTTAGTTGTTGTTTTGCTCGTGCAGTACGTTTGAAGTTACCGAGTAGCTTACAAAGCGGATATACCCATGCAGCGCTGTAATACATATATCATCTCTACAAAATATTATACATTAGTAAAAAATGGAGCTATTGCATTTCGCCTGGCAAACCGTGACCAAGTGGAGTACGTCTATTAAAATACAAATTACGCCAAGATCTTTGATTTCATTTAAACTCTAAATTAAAGACTATTTGACAATTTTTGAAGTTTTCTGATGTCTTAAGAGAGCTGAGAATCGACACAGCAATTTTTTTTATCAGGATTTCTAGTTTTCGACTACAGTTCATATGTATATCACATGAATGCGGAAGTGAAGGTAAAATAATAGCTTTGAACATTTTTAATGGGAAAAGGACCAGGTTACATTCAAGACTTTAACCTCAAAATAAACGTAAGTAGTCAAAAATAAAGGTAAATTTTGAGTTGCATGGGTTATTTTGAATTCACTTATTCCAAACATGCAAAACTAAGTATAAATATATATCTTATGTTTTTGTAATAATTTATGTCAATTATGTATTTTTATTGTACTACTGGTCATTTTTTTTCTAATCTACTGTTGCGAAAATACGAGGCGAATGTCAGATGAAAGAGAGAAGCCGATAACTAGTACATTCTAAACGAGAACCTTCGATAGCGAACAACTCGATGATTCTACACTTGCGTCTGCGAGCAGCCGACTGCTGTATAAGGGCCACACTTAGCTGCCAAGTCAAGTTAGTTACAAAGTGAACTTGTTGGCGTTAAAATAGAGTATAGCGGAGTAAACACGTTGGAGATTACATTTAAGTAAAGTAAATTGTGAAAGTTGATGTTAGTGATTGTAAATAGTAAAGTGCATTGTAATTGAATTGTGAATTACTGAGTAAATAAAGCACATTAGATAAATTCTTTATAACGAAAGAAAAAGCAAATTAAGTTGGCGAGTTTTTATTTAACAATCCAGAGATCGTACCCGAAGGATTCAGAAAATCATCGATGTTGATTTAGCAAAATCGTAACAACTGGTGTCAGAAGTGGGACTGTTAAATAAATCCCAAAGAATAATATTTGCAAAATAGTAAAGATTCAGGATTTGACGATACCTCCTCTCAAGAGGGAGTTGGCAAAGCGAGGATTATCGACAACTGGAAATAAGGCAGAGCTGCAATCGAGACTGCGAGAAGCAATGAAAGTTGAAAGCATCGACTTGAGCCAGTTTGAGTTCCATCGCGAGGATGAAGATGTATCCTTGAAGGACATTGACAAGCAAGAGGCCGATAATTCTGTGTAAGGGTATTGACATGAACATGTTATTGACTGCGATCTCACAAAATATGTCTGAAATGTTCAATGCACAGGACACAAAAACGAACGCCAGCATCGCACAGAAAATGTCTGAAATGAGAGCCAGCATCTCACAAAAAATGGATGCACAGAATGCTAACATTACATCATAAATGGTTGAGCAGAGGGAGCAGATATCATCCTTGGAAGGAACAATAGAGCAAACACAGCAAACTCTGGTGAGGAACAATGCGGAACTTAAGGAAAGGCAAGATATAATTGTGATCGAAGTCAACGCATTGAAAAGTCGTTTCCGGGAATCGCAGCTGAATTGTCCAACCGCTTCAGTGAACGCTCCGAAGGTAAAAACACCATCTTTTGACGGGAGAATCCCATTTCAAGTCATTAAGCTCCAATTTGAGAAGACAGCTGAAACAAACAACTGGAGCATAAAGGAAAAATCCGCTGCTCTTGGAAGAACCTGCAGCCGAACTTTTGCAAACCATATCTGTAAACGAGAGAAATGATTACGACGGATTGATGCGAGCCCTAGAAATCCGCTATGGTAGCGAACACAGAAGACAGATTTATTATTCGCTGACACTGTTGCGTATGCGCAAACACGTGAAACGGCGGCATTCACAAGCAGACCACCATACAAAGTCAATAAAGTCGAAGTTGAAACACCAGATGTGATGACGGAAATATTGAGAATTCTGAAATCGCTAAAAGAGATGAATCGTTCTGGTTGCAAGACTCAAGCGAGGAAATGCTTCAAATGTGGAAAGCCTGGTTACTTCGCACGCGAATGCAAAACAAGTTTCAGCAGACAGGAGGTACAGCGAAAACGCAACCCGGAGAAGGATGAACCAAAAACTTCTCAAAGTTATGACTTCGCAATCGAGCAACTCAAGGGGAATACGCACGGAAATGCTGACGCTATGTGCCGTCTACCATGTAATATAGAATGTAAACATTGCTCAAAAGCTGAGGGTGAAGAAGACATAATAGACGTCCGGCTAATGAAAGTTACGCAAGCAGAAGAGTGGAAGGCAAGTAACTTAAGAAAATGCCAGCAGGCAGATTTAGAATTAGTAATGCACGGGTTGGAGGTAAATAGACGACCAAGTAAGGAACAAATAGCTGCGGAAAGTCCAATCGCAAAGGCATACTGGGCGCAACGGAAGAGTTTAGAGCTGATATCCAGCTGTTTGCATAGTGGGAAAGTAAAGATGGCCAGTGCTCCCGGAAGCTAATAGTAGTTCCGTAGTTAAGAATTCCGGATGTTCTTAAGGAATTCCATAACGGTCCTAGTGGAGGGCACTTAGGCATTACAAAAACGCTGGAAAAGATCAAGCAGCGGTTCTATTGGGTTGGCTGTCGGCAACCGATCGCGAAGTGGATTGCTAATTGCACGGAGTGCATAGCAGCTAAAGGCCCAAAGTCCCGAAGTCATGAGCACATAAAGCAGTGTAACGCAGGGGCACCATTTGAGCGGATTGCCATGGATGTGGCCGGTCCATTCCCTATGAGCAAACAAGGAAACAAATACGTGCTCGTGGTTATGGACTACTACAGTAAATGGCCTGAAGTTTACCCAATCCCAAACCAAGAAGCAAAAACAGTTTCGGATGCATTCACTAACAATTGGGTTACCAGATACGGTGCGCCTATAGAATTGCACTCAGATCAGGGAAGAAACTTTGAATCGGCGGTGTTCCAGGAGATGTGCCAAATACTTGGTATTCGAAAATCCCGAACGACAGCCCTACATCCTCAATCTGATGGTATGGTAGAGCGAGTCAACCGGACCCTGGAAGAGCACTTGGGGAAAGTAGTAAACAAGCATCAGGTGCATATACCGCTTTTCCTGATGGGATATCGGTCCGCCGTGCATGTAACTACAGGGCAAACACCTGCGAGGATACTTTTTGGTAGCTAACTACGGTTGCCCAGCGATTTAAAATTTGGAATAACGTAATTTAGTAACATCTACCGATCTCGAGGAAGAGCTAAGAGAGGTGCATGCTCTTTTGAGACAGCGAACTCAAGTTATGAGTGACAAAATGAAGGTCAGGTATGACAAGGCGATGAACTCCAATAGTTTCCAAAATGGGGATTTGGTGTTGCTGTACAATCCACAACGGAAGGGGGGTTTGTCCCCGAAACTTCAATGTAATTGGGAAGGTCCATACAAGTTAATCAAACGACTAAACGACTTAGTGTATCGGATCCAAACCAATGGGAGTCCAAGAAACAAGATGAAAGTGGTCCACCTGGAGAGGCTTGCTGAGTTTGGAACAGCGGGACGATCAGACTTAGGTGGAGGGCAGTGTTGCGAAAATGCGAGGCGAATGTCAGATGAGAGAGAGAAGCCGATAACTATCACATTCTAAACGAGAACCCTCTATAGCGAACAACTCAATGATTCTACACTTTCGCCTGCGAGCAGCCGACTGCTATATATAAGGGCGACACCCAGCTGCCAAGTCAAGTTAGTTACAAAGTGAACTCGTTAACATAGAGTATAGCGGAGTAAACGCGTTGGAGATTACATTTAAGTGAAGTAAATAGTGAAAGTTGATGCTAGTGATTGTAAATAGTAAAGTGCATTGTAATTGAATTGTGAATTACTGAGTAAATAAAGGACATTAGATAATTTTTTTATAACGAAAGAAACTGCAAATTAAGTTGGCAATTTTTATTTAACAATCCAGAGATCTTACTCGAAGCATTCAGAAAATCATCGATGTTGATTTAGCAAAATCGTAACAATACTAAGAAATAACTTACGAAAATTTCCTTCATTATTTATCATTTGATGACAATTTTAGTAAAAATATAGTGAATATACATTCACTTATGCTCGCCAGTGTACATACATATGTATGTAGGTAGTTTTTTGCTTAAATCGACGAGAACATTACTTTTTCTTCCAGGAAGTGGAACCAGTTCCAAGCCATTCGAACAGTGGTGATAACATCAGTATAGAGTACACTGGAGTAAAGTGTGCATTTATAGAGAGCTGTAT